CCCCCCCAAGTCCCGTCCCCTCCTTCATGGGCAGCACTACTGGCACAGAGCTGGTGTGTGGGGAGGATTCAGGCTGCCTGCTACAGGCTTAGGGCTCCCCACTCTGATGCCTTCCCCCAGGGGGCTCAATGGCCTAGTGGTCAGGAACCAGCATAGGAGCGAGGGAGTGCCACACTGCAGCGCACCATGCCACCATAAATGCCAAGCTGAGGTGTCCCCTGCTCACCCAGCAGCAGCATGGGCACAACTCCATGATGCCACTGCTGCCATGCCTCACCTTAGCGGCTGTGGTGGTGCAACACTCCCTCCCACAACGGGTTCCAGTTGCTGGGCCGTAGAGGCAGCTCCTACCCGGAGCTGGTTCGACCTGGCTCCAGACCTGCACCCTGCTGTGGATACAGAGATCTCAGGGGGTATGTTTATTGTGACCCCATCTACTGATATTGTGACCCCATTTGGGAACTGTTGGTTTAAATAATTACCTGTTTAAACTCCTATAATGATATCAGTTACTCAGTTAACTGATAACACATACCTAGCACCCGTGTGTGTGTGTGCGCGCGCGCGCGCGTGCTTTGCACTGCCCCATGCATATGTGGGGCAGATCCCCCATGCCCTCACAATCTTCCGCAGATCTTTCCACAATATGGAGCTGGGCACCCCCTGCCCTGTTCCAAGAAAAGTACATAGCTTGGAGTTCCTTGCCTGGCTTCTTTTTGACTGCTCCATCTTTAATCTGTAGCACGCTGCAGGGAGAGGAAGGCGGAGATGGAGCTGCATGCTGTGCCTAGCTGCCTTCCTGGAGCACAACGCTGCTTCCTTCCCCACCAGGCTGTGTCCAGTGCTAAATATTAACTGTAATGCATTGATGTTGTAAATGTATTTACCATTTAACTGTTTAACCATTTAACCTTTTACATCCCTACTTTGCACCCAAAATAAATTGCACAGAGGTACTGAGGACAGTGTTGGGGACTGCCCCTCTCCCATTCTCATACAATTTCTTCAGCCTCCCCTCCCCCGCCCCTAAAAATGATCTCACTCTCACCTTTTAATCCTATCTTCTGCCTGTTGTCAACACCTGGCTTGCTGCCATGTGTTAAAATACTATGAATACACTACCAGGAGATCTCACTTTTGACCATGGCTACAAGCACTTGTGTTTCTCTTCCAACTACATTTTGGAAAAGGACACTAGTGGCAGAGCAGAATTAGGGTATACTGCAGGCAGGAATCATGACCTGGACTGTTGGGTCTATTAGCCATGAAATCCTCATTCTTGCCAGTAGAAATCCTTTCAGAGACCTCACCAGAAGTTTTGTATTTTGAGATAAAAGTTACTGTTAAAGTCAATTTAATTACTCATCTCCTAATTACTCGTTACCCCTATACACTGACCAAACCCTAGGTACCATGCACCTTGAAACTGAAAAGTTCCTTAATGGTTTTGTTCAACATAGGTGGCAATTGCTGTAAGTCCAGCAGGGTTTTAAAAGCTGCAGTGTGATTAATGTACTTCTGAAGTAACTGGCTTTGCCAAACAATTAAATAAGAAGAGTAAAAACTTAATATAATCTAGGAAGCGTTCATGAAAAGTCTTTTAGGATATCAGCTGCTATCCTGTTTATATATGATTTTGACTTTAATTAGTTTTTCAGTATAATATTTAAAGAGTTAAAAATGAACCAGATAAAGTAACGCTTTTTACAGTATGCTACCAAAATATGCCCTTTTTCCTTAAGCAATGTCGAGAAATAATATTCAATTACTTTTTTCTAACATCTTTTCACTCAAGTAGACCTTGTTTTTTTCTGCACCAGAGGTTGAAATTGTTGTGGCAAAATAATGGGATGTGCTCATCTCGTTAATTATACATTTGACTCATGATTTATTCCCAGGAACACACCATTCCTCTCCCTAATCTAAAAAACCCCAAACATTTGAGGCTCAAAAACAGTAAGTTTTAGTTTGCTTGCTTTTCTCAACAGATGCTACTAGCCCCAAGGTAATGCTTAATGACAACAGAATTCACTAGCTTTGTATCATCATCGCTATGAGCTACAGCAGGGGTTCCCAAACTGTGGTACGCAGACCTCTATAGACACACAAGACATCTCTGGGTGGTACGTGGGAAAAATTGTGAAATTGCAGATTTAATTTTCAGCTACAGTAATGTAGCCAGAAAAAACCAGAAAACTTAGTCCAGATGAACTTTAGTTTGTTTGTGAACAGTCCAGTTTGTTTAATATTTAATTCCATGACTTTGCTTCAGCATTCATCACAGAGCTTCTGTCTCTGTAACTTGTCATGAGTATAAAACAGATGGAGCCTTGCACAGGAGATTCTGTTTGCAGAAATGTCTTTGTCTTCAACCAAAGCAGACCGTGGCCTGGGTTCTATACTCAAATTGCCAAGAACTCTAATAACAGAGTTTTCAAAGGCGTCCATCATTCAGAAGAAAACTTTCTGGCTGGTACTGCTAAGATAATTTTGAAACGCATTAATTAATAAATGCAACATTCTCATTAATTGATTTATTCTTATCGGTTAACTTCAGGCAAGGATCAGCTGGTTCTGTCATCCACTCATCACATACATTGCATCTGAAAACACACACACGCACACACACGTATTATGCAGTAATAATAATCTGCTGTTTTACTAAACGCATTTTACAAATGTTTGTCCTCTGAGCCCCTTCAAGTTACACTTACTAGGCTGCTGAATAAATTGGGGGTTTGATCCACAAAGGCATTTTAAGCACTGCAGTGCTCAGTTTTGCTGTGTTTAACTTTCAGGTGCTTGACCTCCATAGCAAAATCCACAGTCCTGAGTTAGGCGCCTTCATTTACAGTTAATAGGAGAGAGTTAAGTACTTCAAAATGGGATTCACAAGAGACAACTAGGGCTGTGCGAAGCTTCAGTCACTGATTTGAGGAGATTCAGCCTGATTCAGCTGCTGAATTTCTGAATCTGAATCAAATCAGGAGACCTTTAAATCTCTCTGAATCAAATCAGAAGCCTCTGAATCAATTCGGAGAGATTTGATGATTTGGCCATAGACACAGCTCTTTATGTTTTTTCTATGTACCTCGAAGTACCAGCTTATGAACGCTGAGATGATGGGGTGGATACAGCATCCCACGGGAGTGCTGGTGGGTTCCCCGTGCTTGGCAGCGGACCTGGAAGTGGATCAGAAGTACTTTCGGTCCACTTCCAGATCCGCCAAGGAGCACACGGGGGACCTCTCTGACCCCTGGCTCAGCAACTGGTGCCTCCTGGGTCTAGGTGGGGCACCCAGTGTCCCCCTGCAGCCAATCGCTGAACTGGGGTGTGTGGGAGGGTGTCCCCCACGCATTCAGCAGCAGATCTGGAAGTGGACCAGAAGTATTTCTGGTGGTCCACTTCTGTATCTGGTGCCAAGTGTCCAGGGTACCATCCCCCCATGCTTCCATGGGACGCTCCATCTGCCTCACCATCTCAGCGATCACTAGCCATGCATGGAACCTCGAGGTACATAGACAAAACATATAAAGCTGTGGCTATGGCCGAATCTCTGATTCTCCAAATCAAAATTGGATCTTCAGATTTATATTCGGCCAAATTGAATCAGGACAGCTTCCGGCACTTGGGAGCTAGGAGCAGTGGGGAGAAG